GCAGCTCAGCAATGGTTGAGGCTAGGTAAAGATAGGCAGGGGCTGGAGACTAGGTACTTAAGTCACAGGAACCAGATTAGTCAACAAGGAACCAAGGGCCAGGAGTCAGACTAGGGAACTCAGAGCCAGGAATCAAGAACTAAGCATACACATCAGACACCAAAGCTGGATAAAGGAAACACCTATGTTATTGCAAGCCTACAGAACACCGCAAGGGCTGTTGCTTATGAGCAGCAGCCATATCCAAGCCTTTCAATGGGGGCCAATTGAGGGCACTTGGGCAGTGGGCAGCCAGTTCCACTCAGGCTGGCTGGGATTTATGTCTGTCTTCCTGCAGCTCCAACTCCTGCCATGATCCATGGCCATAAGGAGAACCTGATTATCTCCTTTGTGTAAAATAAAAGCCAACCTTAACCTTTGGCCACTGCAACCACCCTCCAGACACATGCAGCAATTTTCATGCCTGCCTGAAAGTCCCTAGAACTAAAAGCAGAAACATCCAAATCCTGGGCAAAGGCTGTTTCTACAGGATCTTTGTAAAGATTTCCTTGGAAATACCATTCCTGGGAGATTCCCAGTACTAAATGTCTGGAATGAGAGTCATGGGTTCGGTTTGACCACTGCGTTGAGGAGGTAGATAATAAACATAGGATGCCCTTGTTTCAACACATTGCAAGTGAAAGACAAACTATGAAAGGTGCATTAAAACACTGCAATGGCATTTCTTTCTCCTAAACTAGATACATTACAGAGCACAGTTGTTAGAAAAATGTGACAACCTTGGTTTTAAACAGGTTGTGAGTTTGCAAGAAAGATGATGAGTCCACAGAAAAAGAACTGGGGGTTACAGTGGACAATAAGATGGATATCAGTGAGCCGTGTGCCTTTGTTGCCAAGAAGGATAACAGTATACTGGGCTGAATTAGTAGGAGCATTGCCAGCAGATTGAGAGATGTAATTGGTCCACTCTATTCTGCACTGGTGAGGCCACATCTGGACTCCTGTGTCCAGTTTTGGATGTGCCCCCCTCCCCACCTCCACTATAGAAAGGATGTGGACAAGTTGGATAGAGTCCAGCAGGGAACAACAACAATGGTTTGGGGGTTGGGGCACATGATTTATGAGGAGAGGCTAAAGGAACTGGGCTTATTTAGTCTGTGGAAGAGAAGACTGAAGGGGGGTGGATTTGATAGCAGCCTTTAATTACCTGTAGGGTGGTACCAAAGAGGATGGAGCTGGACTGTTCGTAATGGTGACAAATGATAGAACAAGGAGCAATAGTCTCAAGTTGCAGCAAGGGAGGTTTAAGTTGGATATTAGGAAAAAATGTATCACTAGGAGGGAGGTGAAGCACTGGACCAGGTTACCCAGAGAGGTGGTGGAATCTCCATCCTTGCAGGTTTTTAAGGCCTAGAATGATCTAGTTGGGGACGGTCCTGCTTTGAACAGGGGGTTGGACTAGATGACCTGAAGTCTCTTCCAACCCTAATTTTGTATGATAACATCAAGATCCAGCCAAAGAACGAATGCATGCAGAAGAATCGATTTAAATCCATTGCCTAGTTTCTGCTACTGACTTAGATGCCAGGTCAAAGAGTTTGAAGAACTGTCCACAACATTATTAAAAGCAACAGCTGTTAATGATAATTGCCATCCCTTTGCCATGTTCTATGTGACAATATTTGTGAAAGATGTCAGGATAGAAAAGCAAAACTTGGCCGTTGACGCAATAGGAAATAGCTTAGGCCCAACAGCACTAGGGTCACTTTGTAGTGCAATAGCCGCAGACACACATTTAAACATTTTCTTCCCATAGTTCAAACCTTTCAGCAAGCGGCTATACTAGCAGGGTTGAGTCTCCTGGGCTGAATAACTGCCTAAGGCTATTTTCAAAGAAATTATTCTGTTTCTTACTCATCTGCATCTAAAGCTACCATGGTAAAGACCAGAACTCAATGTAACATCAATCATGCTGTATATACATATTATATCCAGCAGGAGAATCTGTGTAGACATGAGAGCAGTTAATAAAGAATGACAGGGTTCAGTGATACATGATAATTTCTGCAATACTGGCTATTTTTACCTCCCCAACGCTCTCCAAGAGATTCCTGAAGCTCCACTGAGTTCACTGTTTAGAACCAGCAAGATTAAGGCAGAAATAACTGACTTCTGTGCAGTTTCTATATTAAGAAAAGTGTATCAGGGGCTGCTTTATGCAGAAAAGTACAAAGACAACAGCTCAGAGGAGACTAGCGACTGGGCCCTGCTTGTGGGGATGGAAGGCACACATGCCCAAAGGTGACACTGGTGGCAGCCCTACTCACTGGACTTTCACTGGAATATAGTGCATCTCTAGAGATAACAATAAAAGATTCCCTTGCCAATGAATGCATTTCTTATCCACAAAAACAGACACAAAGACCAAAGAAACAGGTCTCCAGAGTAGGGTTAGAGAAGAGAGGGACAGAAAAACCTCTAATTAGATCCTTCACACCATCTTGCCTGCTCAGGGAGGAACAGTTGTGCCTTTGTGTCTGCATGGAAGAAAACTGCATCAGGCAGCACACAAAGGGCCCTGGCTTAGTGGTGAAAGAACTGAAAGGAGAGGCAAGAGGCACTGAACAACCTTGTATCTGCTAGTTGAGGGTCAATCTCTCAGTAGTTCCCTTTTCAAAAGCAACCCTTTCTACTTGGACCTTGTAGCTGTATCTGGAGCTCTACTAGACAAGTCCAAAGCTTTGAGCAAGTGGTATCACTTGCAAACTGCCAGGTATACACAGAGAGCTAGCTCCTCAGGCTCAAAATAAATAAAGGCCCTGGCTTAGTGGAGAAAGAACTGAGAGGAGAGGCAAGAGGCACTGAACAACCTCATATCTGCTAGGCTTTTTGATGAAGGATTTTTTCATTGGAAAATGCTAATTTGTCAATCCCCTCAATTGCTGTGGGAAAGGGTCAGTTTGGAGGAATTTCCCAACTTGGAAAAAAATTGAAATTTTCTAAAAGTTTTGCTTATTTTTTAAATGACAAATCCTGCTGTTTCTGTTTGAAATGATGTTTAGTTTCAAAATGTAAGTATAATAGAAAAATAAATAAACACAGGCTAAATTGCAATCATCATAATGCTTAGGGTCAGAAGGGACCTAAACAGATCATCAGGTCCGACCACCTGCCCCAGGCAGGAATGGGTACCGGGGTCATATCACCCCAGCCAAATATCTGTCCAGCCTCCTCCTGAAGACCCCCAAAGTAGGAGTAAGCAACACTTCCCTTGGGAGCCCATTCCAGAACCTGGCACCCCTAAATGTAAAGTAATGTCTCCTAAAGTCCAGCCTGAACCATCTCTATAACAATTTGTGACCATTATTCCTAGTAACTCCGGGTGGTGCCCGGGGGAACAGAGCCTCTCCCAATTCCCGCTGGTCCCCCCTGGTGAGTTTGTAAATGGCCACCAGATCCCCTCTCAGCCTTCTCTTGTGGAGGCTGAATAGGTTCAGACCCTTTAGCCTCTCCTTGTAGGGAGTTGCCCCGCTGCCCCTTGACAATGAGAGTGGCCCTCCTCTGGACCCTCTCAATGGTAGCCACATCCATCTTGAAGCGTGGTGCCCAGAACTGGATGCAGTACTCTAGCTGCGGCGTGACCAATGCCGCATAGAGGGGAAGGATCACCTCCCTGGACGTGCCTGTGATGCATCTGTAGATGCATGACAAGGTACAGTTAGCCTTACTGACCGGTTCCTTGCATTGGCGGCTCATGTTCATCCTGGAGTCAACAATGACTCCAAGATCCCTTTCTGCCACTGTGTTGGCAAGAAGGGTGTTCCCCAGCTCATAGGTGTGTTGCTGGTTCCTTCTCCCTAGATGCAGAGAAGTCAGCTATATAACTGGTCCAATGACATAAGAATCAAAGATCATTAGGGCCTCCAACTATCTATGAACCAATTGAAATGTTTTGTGACTGATCTAAACCAAAATATTTTTCAGATTTCTGGTTTGCAGAAGTTTTTGAGTTTTTTTTACCTTTTTATCCTTATTTGGAATGGGGACATTTTTTAAAAACTCTCAAACATTTTGAGGAACGGGAAAATGATTTCTTCCACAGCAATTTCTGTGATCGTTTTTGTACAGGCCCAAGCTGAGGTTCAATGCCATTTGATGAAAAGCTGGAATTTTCCATGGAAAATGGATGTTTGTAGTGAAAAATTCTGTTCAGTCCAAATTCTGCTTTTTCATGAAAATCAGTTAGTGTTTGAGTAGCTCTGGAAGTGATAGCTGTTCCCCAACCACCTGCTGTAATAGTGGCATAAGGCACTTTCAGTCCACAGTCTTTAAGAAAGCACACTCTTCTGTTTGTTTTAAATTGTCTAGTCATATTTTTATAGCCCGTTTCCACCTTAGAACATTTTTGTCAAAGTCTTTTCTTTTGTTTTCCCAGTTTTTCCCCTCTTTACTCTTCTGTTTTGTCACTGAAAAGGGGTGAGAGAGGATCAGTGATAAACTAAAAATGCATTTTGCATGTTCTGATTTCATTGGAAAAACAGACTAAAAAAATCTATTTAGGGAAAGGACCATATTTTAACTGAAAAAAATATTGTTCAGACTTATTCAGCCAAATCTATCTAATAATTTATTACTCCTGAAGACTTTACAAAGTTTATACCAACCCAAAAGGAGGAGAACAGACAATGAAATTTAAGTAACCAGCTATGTACCTTGAGTAGTTAATTGTGAAATTGAACCATCAGCAAAGAACCTATTGCTGAAATTTGCTCACGTAAAGTATCCTGACAGTTCCAAAGAGATAACTTGTTCCTGAAAATCAACGCTTCCTCACAAATGAATCATAAAGCAGAAAAAAGGGTTCCATTTATTTTCAATGCAATGTAACCAGTTCCAGTTCTAACTTGTTTTATATTTTTGAATGGTTTAAATGCAAACCATGCTATCACCTCCTACCACAGATCCTGGACCTTAGCACAGTTTGCTGGCACAGTTGGGGCTAAAACATTATGTGTTAAAAAAAAGCAAAAAGCTCACTTCTGCCAGTGAAATCTAACTTAAACTCATTGCAAAAGGTGCCTCCAAAATCCACCAGTGTCTCCTTTTCTTGTCCAAACCTGTTGCCAAGCCAACCTATTACAGCATCATTGTTTGTTGGACATTTATCTTCAGCTGTAGTTTAAAACACCAACTACAAGATGCTACTAGGAAATTAAGCAATCAGATTCAGGATGATTTGGTTACGGCCATTTTCGTCATGGGAAATAAAGTTCCTTTCATGATGCTGCCGTAGTGGCATGGTGTGAGCAGAAGAGAACCATGGCTTTCTTCTCCTACTGTTATTGCCATTGGGTTTGCTGCTGGTGACCTCAGAGTGCGATGGTGACTTTGGAGCCTAGCTGCAGGCCAGGATTATGGGCCAGTTGTCTCAGGGAGTTGCAAAGCATACAGAGCCAGTGTATGATGGAGGAACTGGTATTGCTCACTGGTCTGAATCATTCCTCCTCTGTAAGAAAGAAACAGGTCAGTCTGATGTCGAAGCAAAGGGCAGCCATCTCATCTTCTAAATCCTTGGAAAAGCCACTTCTGCACAGGTATTCCAGCCCCCTCTTGTATTTCCAAATAACCAGAGTGAGAGTAACCTCATGAGCTATAACCTCACTGACTAGAATTCCCTAACAGCATTGGGATTTGAAAGTCATTATAGGCTAGATTAGGGAACGGATTCTGTTCTTGCTTCCCCTGGTTCTGATCTGGAGTAACTCCCCTGAGGTCAATAGTCGGTTCAGGACAAACACGGGTAGGTAACAGAATCTGGCTCTACATTTCTTAGATTGTTCCTTTAGCAAGTAAATGCCTCATTTCAGCAACTAAGAGTGTGTACAGAAGTGCTCTGTGCATGTTATACAGTGTTGTAATTTAGAGCACTTTTTATAGCACTATAAAGTTACAGCACTCTAGTGCAGTGTTTGGCGGGGGGGAGGGGAGCACTGAGCTTCCCTGCACTTTCCAGGCTAGGAGGCAGGGGATGCTCTGCAGCCTCCTGGGACTTCTCCACTGGTCAGGAATTTGACCAGTGTACAGAAGTTTTTTAAAGCGCTATAGGTTGCTAAGGTGCTATAAAATACAGTGCTTCAAATTTTAACAAGGGGTAATTTAAAGTACTGTACCCATTTTTAAAGCGCTGTAAAGCTGTGAGCTTCTGTTAAGTCATGGCAATAAAGTGCTTTAAATGGCAAAAAAGCAAATAACTTCTGTACACACCCTAAGTGCTGGGTGTCCAGCTATGGGCTTAGATGAGCTGTTAAGATAACTAACTACCTGTGAAAAATAAGCTCATAATTTTAGTACTGTTGAAATAATGTAGCCATGATGATCTAGGAAATATGGGAGAGGCAAGAGTTTTTGTGGGTGATATCTTTTATTGGCCCAACTGTATGGTTGGGATAGATTTCAGCAAGCTTTGGGGTATCACAGTACCCTTCCTTGGATCTCAGTGAAGGGTGCTGTGATACCCAAAAGCTTCTCATAGTTTTACACACTTGTTTCCTAGAACTGGACCTATTGAAAGTACCTCCAAGCATAGGGGTCACTAGCCATGTCTACACAGGACACTGACTGCGCAGGAGCTCATTACTACTACATAGTAGAACTGCATGGTAAGAAGCGTGACACGACACTACTGCATAGTAGTAATGAGCTACTGCACAGTCAGCATCACCTAAAAGTTGTTCAGCGATGCTACTTCGCAGTAACTCCAGTTACTGCACAGTCATTTAGTACTTGTATGTGCAAGTACTAAATGACTGCACAGTAACAACTGCACAGTCCGTGTCTTGTGTAGACACAGCCACTGTGAGGGGATAAGCCAGTTCATTCATATGACTAGGAGCTACAGCACAAATGTTCCTTTCGCAGCCTCTGCTGCAATGGTGCTTTGGAAACAATGAAAAAGGAGATAGGTTCTCCTATCTCCTTGTACCTGAGAGCTCCAGATGAGCAGAAAAGACTCTCTGGTGACCAATTTTCAGCTCAAAGCAGGTCAGAAACTATAGTGGAACATCTTGCTTGATGCACGACACAATTTTGGCCAGATATTCATGGGTTCAGCACCTCACACCTGGTGCTAGGTTTTCAGGACAGCTTGCCACTCAACCTGCTTAGCTGTTCTGCAAATTTGGCTATCTACTTTAATGTCCAAATGGGTGCTGAGTGCTTTTGAAAATATGGCTCTTGGAGTCAAGCCAATGACAGCCAGGGCACTTAACTATTTTATTAAGGGAATCAGATGGAAACTGCTTTCCATGTATTGGGACTGGGATTGTCACTTGCAGAAACAGCTGAGATGAAGAGAATGGAGAATCTTCTTTCCTCAGACATGCCATCTGCTTCCAGGCCAATGGTGTGCTGAACCCAAATAATTTTTCCCTGCATTTTCAAAAGAACTAGGGGAAATCCCTTTGGGTTAAACCAAACTATTTTTTTAATTGCTTGTCAAACCGAAAAGTCAACACATTCAATTTAGGACCAAATGAAATGTCTTGTTTTGATTTTCAGTGATTTTTAAGTGTTCTTAATTAAAAAATATATATTTAAAGGAATTTCAGACAAGAATGAGTTTTGACTCTATACTTGGAGTGTTTTGCTTTGAAACCATTTACATGAAATGGCAACATATTTTTTCAGTTTTTTTAATGCTTTTCTTTTGAACCCAACAACTTGGCAAAATTAACATGAGATTGCAATGTTGTGGTACTGCTGGACTGAAACTATAGTCATGATGGTCTAGGAAGCAAGTGGGAAGCAAGGATTTTTATAGGTGATATATTTTATTGGACTAACTGCATGTTTGGGGGAGATTTAGACAACCCTTCAGGTACAAGGCCCCTTCCCCAGGTCTGAGAAAATCTGAAGAAGGTGACCACATGCCTGAAAGCTTGACTAAATATCTTCCAACCATGCGGTTGTTCCAATAGAAGATATCACTCCAAAAATCCTTGCCTCTTGCATAAAATTATAAAATGTTTTGGTGTTTCTAAGTCAGCACTTTTACCAAAATCCCTAAAAAGATTCAGTCTAAGGCCTTTATCCTGCACTACCCTGGATCCTTCCATACCTCTCTGACAGACTGCTGAGCCAGCAGTGCTGTCATCCTAGCTCTTGCTGCCCTCCACGTCTGAGGTGGGGTGCTCCAATCCACCTGCTCCCTCTCCCCCCAGCACAAGCTGGGTAAACTCCAAACTGAAGCTCCCTCCTTTCTCTTCTCCCCCTCTCATCCTACAGATACCACTGGAGCTGGGGAGGGGCAGGAACAGGGGAGCTAGGGGAGAGAGGCTGCAGACAGGCAGCTCCTCCTGGATTGGCTTCAAAGTGGAGCTCGACCCCGACCCCTCCCAATCCAATAGCCAATGTCTGTTGATTGTTGGGGGTTGCTGTAACTCATGGCACTTTTTGTGAAGCACCATGAGTTACAGAAGGGAGCTGTACATCTGTCAGTGCCCCTAGATTTAGCTTGGAACAACAAAGCATTTACTCCCAGCTCTGTATTGTTCCTCTTTAGTATCCCAATATGGCCATGAACCTTTATTGTCTCTTAATACATACCTATCTATGCGTAGTTGGCACACTATTCCCAGGATGTCCACCTCTCCTTTGTCCTTCAGCTGTTGGCATCCGATCCTGGTAGCAATAAAGCAGCCTGTCCGGCCAATCCCTGCACTGAATAGAACCCAAAAGGCCCATTAAATCACAGCTAGGCTGATGGCAAGGGGCACTGGCTCATTTGAGGATGAGACACAAAACCGTTTGCTTCCAGGTTTCAGCTCACTGCCAGCCCAGTTTGGGAGGAAGGGCAGACTGGTCACATCTGTTGCCTAGTTGGCTGCTTCAGTTTGGTTCCAAATGGGCACTGCAGCTATCTACCCACAAGCGGGCCCCTTCATCCCAATTTCAGCCACCTATTGATCATTCTCAGGCTAGGTCTTTGCTGCAGACTCCTGTTAGCAGAACTCTGTCAGTCAAGAACATAATGGATATGTCTACATGTGCACATTTGCTGCACAGTAACCAAAATTATTGCACAGTACCAGCGCGTATCTACATGTGCACACCCAAATTGTGCAATTAATATGGTGACTTATGCTGATATGAGCATAAATTTGATACCTGCATCATGCAAGTATCAAATTTATGCCTGATTAGTTACTGTGCAGTAACGTACATATAGACTCTTTACTGCACAGTAACACTGTGTGTGTGGACTGACTTGGGACTAAGTTTAGTCCCAAGTCAGTCCACACACAGCATTAATGTGCTTTAATGCCTGCACATGTAGATGCCAGCCTATTCTCACTTACTGTGCAGTAAATTTAAGCCAACATAAATGTATGTGTGGACATGCCCAATGTGATGCAATCCCTGAGCAACCCAGCAGAGCTGACAGAACCTCTAGTGCAGGAGCATTTATATCTGAAAGCTGTATTTCCACCACCAGCTCTTGTCAGAATAGCTGTTTGAACACTAGGAGCTCCTTCCTGGTATGAGCTACCAGGATTCCTATGCTGGTAATGTGCTTGCAGTAGAGTCATAGTTAGTGTCTACACGGTCTCAGTACCTTTGGATCTGAGTACCACAATCTTATGATACTGTCATGTAGAACAATGTTATTATTCCCATTTTATGGATGGTGAACTGAAGCACAGAGGACCTAAGTAATTTCAAGGTCATACACATGACCTAAATCAAGGTCATACAAATACACAGAATTGGTAGCAAAGCATGAACCTAAATCTTGTAAATCCCAGGCAGACACCCAGACCTGAACTATCCTGCCTCATTTGTAGGTCAAGGGGTGAATTGTCCAGGGAGAATGGACTCCTGAGTGGAGGTAACAGCTCTGGAAGGAGGTGGGGAAGCTTGTACTGTCAATGCATCTGCTTTCTGTTGGTAATGAGAGAACCTCATTCTAAAGGGAGGTGGTAACACATCCCACCAGCACAAGATTCACATGGCAAGTATGTGATGAGTCAGTGAACAGGTTTAAAGACTGCAAGAAGGTTGTCTCCCTACATGGGATCCATGTGGAAAACTGCTTTAAGACTCAGACACTGCCCTGTACACACTGCATTCAGATTCAGCACATGTGTATGTGGTTGCATCCACTGTCCTACTATGAGGCTGACCAGCTGGAGTCCAGGCTTAAGAGTGCAGAAGAGACTCCCACCCAGCTCTTGCTCTGAGATGGACAGTGAATGTGGGATGCTGGCTCTGCACTGTTACCTCTCAGTGGGATGTCTACGTGGCACAAATCAGTGCCATGTAGCTGAATGCTGAAACAGCCAAACTGGGTTAGTGTGGCACTCTGCCATGCTGCATTTTGACAGAGCTTGTTACCCCAAGGGGAGCACTGCAATGAAATGGCTGCACTGCTTCAGTCTGCAGTGATTCCCCCATCAAAACTGGCCAGCTCAGGAGTTCATGTGAATTTTGCTTTCCAGGTTTATGATACTGGCCCCAGGGCTTCCTCCCATTCTGTACAGGCAAAGGGAAATGGTGGAGGCAATGTGGCTTTGGAAATTAGGCAGGATACAAAATATAGGGCAAATTCTGTGGTTATAAGTCAGCAATATTAGACCCAAGGGAAGAAAGCAACAGCACAGCTGGCCTCATTCCACTAGTCACCCACCTCAAGTGGATCAGTGGGAGGCCAAAGCCTCTCTCCCACCCTCACCAACTCATCTGCTTTCTGGTCAGACAGAAGCTGACTCCAAATGCTTCCTTCCACACTAGGGTATGGGAGACGCTCCTACCTGCAGTGGACAACAATGGGCCCCGGGGGGGCTGCAGCCTTCTGGATCTCTTCTACCTCTGACACCAAGTGCAGCAGGGGCTTGGCAGACTCGGGGGTCTGCTGGTCCGGCCAGGAGGGGAAGGAGATGTGCTTGACATGGCGACATTCATCTTTTAGCTTCCAACCACGAGAAAGGGGTGAGGGGAGGGGGGAAACAGAGGTACATGAGCACCCACACAGAGCGCTGTCCAGACACAATGTGAGCACTGCCCTCCCAGTCAGGATGCTGCCTTCCCACCCCAGGACACCAAGCATGACTGTCTTGCAGCCAAAACTGAACCCCTGCAGGGATGAATGGTAGCCCAGACTGACCATGGCAGCACTGGCAGTCGAGGCTAATGAAGGCATCACCAGCAGTGCATGGAGACAAGTCTGTCCTAAGATGCTCAGCTCAGCAAGAACGTGCCCTGTCCCCTCCCCTGTCACTCAGCTATGCCAGGCTCTGCGCTTCCCAAGTGAGATTCAACCCCAAGATGCCAGGGCCTAAATTCAGCTCTCCCTTACGCTGGTGTAAATCCAGACTCATTCCACTCTAACACCAACTCCAGGCACCTTAGCGAGGCCCTCTAGACTGTACTATGATGCTCAAGGGCAGTGGTGGGTACAGAGCCTGTCTGGAGCAGGAGCTGCCCTTGTTGGGAAAGGGATGGTGTTGGAACAGGATTTGAGGTCAAGGAAGAGTGTTGTACAAGGAAACCATCCCCAACCAGGAGCAGAGAGACCCTTAATCACACAGGGCATTTATACACATGCTCTGGGGGCGGGGGAGAGGCTGCTTTAATTACAGCAGCTCCAAGAGCCACTCTAATTAAAGCACCCAGAGATGTCTCATGTATCAGTGTCCCTGTGCTAAAATGGCAGCAGGAGCACTTTATTTAAAACTCGTTGAATGAGCTTTAGATAAAGCACCCCCACCACCATTTTTAAGTGTGGGGATGCTGATACACAAGATGCTGGAGGCCGCTGGAGCACAGTGATTACCACACTCCAGTAGACTCAATTAATCAAGTCCGCTCTGACACATTGTAATTACAGTGCATCAGAACAGCCTTGCTGCTCGTGTATAGGCGCCCACAGAAGTGGGAACCCTGACCCCGACCTGTCTCCCAGAAGACAATCTGTCCCCGCATTATGCATTAACTCTTGTTGTCCTTTTGAGAAGCCCCATGGCCTGAGTCCACAGCTCCCCCACTCCCAGCACCGCAGGACAGGGCTCTGGCCCACCTGAATTGAGAGGTTCCGGACCACGTACTCTGTGCGCTCGCTCACCCCTCTGACATGGATGGTGAAGGGGCCGTAGGTTGCTTCTTTCTCAGGCCAGTAGTGGACGCATTTCTGAAAGCAGAAGGTGGGGACTGGTGGTGAGGGGGCTGCAGAAGGTACCTGCCTAGGGGCTGATGGTGGCCAGCATGTTGCTCTCAGGGTGTACCTGCACTGATAGTCAGGTTGTCCCAACCTCCCAGACCTCCCCCTGCCCCCACACTGGGAAAGGGACCCACTGCAAATGATGTGGAGGGTCAGGGGAAGCCAGGGAACTGGCCAGAAGGGTTTGATGGGGCTTGTCCGAGAGGGGATGGTTTAGGGGCAGGTCACTGGGTTTGGGTGTGGCTGAGTGCCTAAGACACTGCAGGTGTGTCCTCTGTCCTTCCAACATCTGCTGCATGCCCCTCTTGCCCCAGAGGTGTCACAGCCACCTCCATGCTGGGCACAAGTGCAGGCCCTCCCTGCAGGTAGCTGCAATCAGGCCCTTCCACCTCCTGCCAGCACCTGGGAGCAATCAATGGGAGGCTGGGAGAGAAGATGTGGGGCCAGTGCAGAGACTGTTGCTTGGCTGAAAGGCAGCAGCAGGGGGAGGGAGCAAGGGGATGGACAGGCTTGGGGCCAGGAGGGAAATGAGTGTAATGGCTGGAAATCCTCCAGGTCGGTTGTGCTGGACCTAGGCCAAGATGCTTGAGCCAGCAGAACCAGTTAGGACAGGAAGAGATTGCACTGAACCAGGCCACCTGATCATACTGCATTCGTAGGGCCAGCTGCCTTCAGCCTGGTCTCTGGCCCCCTGCCTGTATCTACCATGCTGGCTAAGAGCTCATATCCCAGAGCAGAGCTGCTTGGTGCCTGGGGAATGAAGCAGCTGATTGCTGCTGGCTCTGCTCCACGTAACTGCCCTAATTCCCCTTATCCTATTAGCACATCAGCAAAACAGGTTCCTGAATAGCCCATGGGTGGAAATCCTAGTGGCCAGGGACACTGACGGGGCAGGCTTGTCTGAGAAGAACCACACAAGCTTTCCAGAGCTCCAGTCCCCCAATGTTGCCTGGAGGCAGGGCCAAGAAGCATGCCTTAAGCTATATACAGATCCTTCCCTCACTCATTCTGGTATAAATCAGGAGGAGCTCTGCCTCCCACATGCCCTAGCTGCTATTTCCATGCAGAGCTGGTGCAGTCAAGTAGATGCCCAGAGCCCTGGGTTGGGAATCTCTGACTGCAGAGCAGGTCTGTCTTGTGCCCCTTCTGTACCTGGTCTTCCAGGTCAGTATTAACCATAGCCCCTGCTCCAGGCTGTGGCCGAATGCCAGGTCTT